CTGAGCCCGGCCGAGTCCCGTGAGCAAGGACCCGGCCACCAGGCGCTCGCCTGCGAGCCCCAACCCCGGGCCTGGCTCCAGAGTGGGGCCCCGGTGACGCCAATCCGGGCGACGTGAACCTCTTTGATTTAATTATTTTCTTCATCACAAAGGGGGGGGTTGAACCGCTATTTGTCTGATCCGTCGCCTAGGACCTGTTTGCCTTGGGAGACCCTACCAGGGGCGTTAAGCCCCCGACAACATAGCTCCTAGGTTCATTCGGATACTCAAACCCCTCCACCACGTTAAGGTTGCGATTCAAGGATTCAATTTAGGGATAACTGCTCAGGGATTCCAACCCATATTTCAACCATGCGCTGGTAATAAAAAAATGTTTCTCCTCGTCGTTGATCTTATTCTGGTATCAGATGTTGTCAATCAGCAGCCGAGGATCAGGTATCGGAGAACTGTCCCGAGTGAGAATTCACTCCCCAGGTCTTTCCCCAGAACCTGGTTCTGGCCGTGCACGGTTTTCAGTTGTTCTCCACCTGATCCTTAGGTTCTGCTTAATTTGTTGGCATCCGGCTCGAAGGACCAAGTTATGTCAGGTTTATTCTAACATATATGACGACAACGTAACGACACAAAAGACCTCTTGATTTTTTTACTTGCAAGGGGAGAGTGCAGCTGACTCTTCTGGCAGCTTCCTCATCAACTCCCAGTAGCCACACCCTTCATCTGCACTTTTATTGAGTTTATCAAAGTATCAGATCATATATCATGTGATCGTGTGTAAATATATGGATGGGTATGGGGCAAGAAGATGGGTGTGAATGGGGGTGTGACTGTGTCTGGTAATTTCTCCATCAGTCTTGATTATTATTCTAGATTATTCTTTTTTTTTCTCTTAAACTTTGTTTTACAAATTTCCCAGTGAGGTGACGAACAAACGAGTTCCTCGTCGTCAACTATCGAGCAACAGCAGGAAGTGATTTCTTTTTTGTTGTTTATTGCAGATCTTATTGATGAAGGTGGTCTGGTTCAAAGAGCTGTTTGCTCTGACGTTCAAGTGTTTGTTGTCGTGACAAATGGGTTTTTTTTTCTGTGTTGAACTTGTCCTTCAACATAAGAACAACAAATTCTACACTCACCCCCCCCTTGAGATTATTAGGTGAAGTTCGCCTGGAATTAATTTCCTGTAATAACCCTCCCTGTTGAATCACAGTTAGCTCCGGTTTGACCACATATTTTCTGGTCTGGAGTATGAGTGGAGGAGGACCAATAGGAGGAGCCAGCCCTATGTTCAATGCACCCTGGTTCAGTTCATGAGGAAATGAAACTCAGACAGTCGTTGTTACCCAGAAAGATTCTGCTGTTCTATATGTCTGGATCTACTGAAGGATCCTGTGGCCATTCACTGTGGACACAGCTACTGTAAAGTCTGCATTGAAGGACACTGGAAGACAGAGGATGAGAAGAACATCTACAGCTGTCCTCAGTGTAGAGAGACCTTCAGACGGTCTCACTGCTATGCTGGAGCTGAAG